CACACGAGCGGCTACGGCCGAGGGTCTTTTGACCACAGATCAGAACAGACACCAGAAATCAGTTTACAGTTTCAGCTCTTATATATTTATGTTCATGATACGATATTATAAATGCTGTTTTATTCAGTACTGGTCTTTGCGGAGCATAGTGGTTTGCTCACGCCCCCATTGTGTTTTTCAGGAGGTGGAGTCGAGCGTGCCGGATGAGCACAAATGTGGCGCAGCGTGGTCATGAGAGTCGGACATAATTTACCAGCATTTTTATGTCCTAAGTTTATGATCATGTGTATTTTATTCAGATTATGTACGCATGTTATGTATTCGTATTTCGGATGCTTCCGCCAGCGAGTTTTCTAGACAGTGCGAGACAGTACAGACTATGCATGTATAATTCCATAACCCGCGAGCGGGCTGTCTGGTTGCATGTTTTTATTACGTCTGTGGGCAAGCCCAAGTTTCAGTTTAAGTTTTTATCTGTGACATCCCGCAATAAGTCAGTATTTTCGAAAACCTAGCTCGCACGACCTTTCGAAAATAAAAACGAAAATTTTACTCTGATTTTTTTTAAGCTAGTAGTGAGGCGGGGTGTGACAGAAGGTGGTATCAGAGCGCAGATTTGCGTTTCTGCATACTTTCAAAGTTTAGAAAAGCATGACCACGCCACGCTCATCCGCACCGAATCCGAGGTAAGTCACCTGACTCAGTTTAAGTTTTGCAAGTGCTAAATTCAGTTCAAGTATGGGGCCTAGATAACTATCCTCCTGTAAGACAGATAACTCTAGAGGCAGAACTCTAGACAGAACTCTAGAACGGATAAGTCCAAGGACTCTAGACTAAGTCAGAACTCCATTTCGGGCCAGAACACCGAAAGTTTAAGTATACCGGAACTCTAGCCAAGCTAGGTGTTTTCGGACTTTATTGTTTATTTTATTAATTCAAAAGTAGTATGGCTATTTCTTAATCGGCTATACTAATCAATTCAAGCGTTTCAGAATGGGACCGCGTAGAGATCCCCAGGCACCAGTCGAGCAGGACCAGGCTG